GAACCTAGAGAGCACCTCTCCCCAAATACTTGTTCTTCAACTCTTAGGTATTTGACTTGGCTGAAGTCGTCAAGAGTTTTCAACTAAATCCTACTCTGTAAGCCCTCTAGGGTGTTTAGCTTACAACTCACTTTGGTATTAAATATCTATTGTCTTCATGTCTTAGTCAAAACTGGGAAAGAAAGAGACTCATTTTTTTATCTTCTGTATGTGAAGAGCATTTGTAATAGTGATTAGTAAGTGGTAGCTAACATGACTATTCTGGACATAAAACAAGACATGTGGGTAGTTTAAAGTTAGTAAGTGGAACCAAAACAAAAGAATCACTCATATTGTCCTTCTCTAACAAACAGGCTTGGAGAATCAATTTGATGTTGTGAAGTATCTTTTCCAGTTTATTTTCAGAGTAGAAGAAATTTTTCTCTATTTGGGATAAATTAACTGCAGTTCAGTTTAAGTAGAGCTGAGTCATACTAAGCGAAGATATATGTGGCAGGAATTATGGCCAGTATGGGGCCAGTGAGTGTACAGGGCCATGATGTTCCATGCAAAGGAGAACGTGGAAAGATTAACTTCCAACCCCTTTGACAACATAGTGACTATCACTTCCTTCAGCAGATACTATGGGGAAATTGCTGTCCACACTTTCGAAACGGTTCCTCCATGGACGACTTTTTCAGGGAAAAAAAGATTTATTGTTTTTTAAAAACAATTTAGATTAGGAAGACATGGTTTTTTTGGTTTTGTTTTGTTATTGTATAACTGCAGTCTCCTTTTTATGCTTTCTTTTCTAAAGAGTGATGAAAAAAGTTTACTGGGTTGTTCTGATTGGACCAGTCAAGTCCCAGCCATGAGAGCCTGAGATGAATGCTCTCTGAACCCCTCAGCAGCGACTTTGCTTCTCCATCAATTGGGGAGCACACACCTGCCCTGAGTAATTCACAGAGCTATTTTCAGGATCTAATTGGCAAGTATGTATAAAAATAGCAATGATGCTATTTCATTATTAGTGAAAGTACTTGATAATTACACTGAGGGAAACAATTTTCCTATTGTGTTTGGGCTTGTCTGCTGAAGATAAATTCTGGAGCAGGCTGAAGAGAGAGCAAAGTCATAAATGAATCCTGGGCAACTTGGGGCCTTAGGACATCTGACAGAACTTTGGAATAGAGCCCTGGACACCCATAATATGGTTAGAGAGAGTGAATGGCACTGTATTTTCTCTGTCTTAGCTTATCATGTTCTACTTCCAGCTCTCAGGCAGTTCAAAGCAGAATATTTCTGTAGCACGATATGAGTACCTTAAACTAACATGGCAGTAGGACTTGAAAGAGAGAGTAGTCACCTCATCAGCTCTTCATCAAGACAAAGCAGATGTAGATAAAAATCTGGCCAGGTTCACTGGACTTTCAGTTCACTTGTTAAACAGAGCATGCTATTAGCATCAAGGGTCTTGGTGATGACAGCACTGAACATGCCTGTCTCTTGAGGTGTGCTGTTCTGATCCTAATTGACGCCCTTTGATGGAGCACAGCTGTCACGTCTTTCTCCATCATCTGGGGGATCCCCTGTCCTGTGTTAGATCTCTGTTTTTTGAATGCTGTTTTCCTCTTTCTTGGCTTACTCTCATGTTTTGTGGAGAACCTTGAGAAAGGACACAAAGAAGGTAAGATTCTGTGATATTATATACCTGATTATAGCTTTGTCCTACTCTAATGCTCCACGAATAGTTGATTAGGTATAGAATTCTACACTGCAAGTAATTTTCTTTCAGATTTTGGAAGATATTGCTCCAGTGTTTTCTTGCTTCCAAAGTGACTACTGAGAAGTCAGAAGCCTTTCTGTTTCTAATATCGGGTATACTACTACTTCTGCCTGTCTGGAAATGAGTAATACCTTCTTTTTACCCCTGGCATTCTAATATTTCACAAGAATATGCCTCAGAGTGGATATACTGGGCTAAGTATCTACTGGGCTTTTTCAATCTGGTAACTTATGTCATTCAATTCCAGGAAATTTTCTTGAATTTTTTTCTTTGTTTATTGTCTTCCCTTCCTTTTCTTTCTTCTTTCTGGCACTTTTATCATTCAATGTTTTGATTCCCCTGGATAACCCTATGGGTTTTTTTCATCTTTTCTCTTTGTCTTCTACTTCATGAGAGAAGTCCTCAAACGCACTTTCTCAAGTGCTATCAACAGAACTTTCTGCAATGATGGAAATGTTCTATATCTGAGCTAGCCAATACCTTAACCTCTAGCCATGGGTGGCTTTAGAGTGTTTTTTGAAATGCCACTAGTGCAAATGAGGAGTTGAATTTTAAATTTCGTTAATTTTAAGTAATTTACATTTAAATTGGTTAGCGGTTACCACATTGGACAGAACAAGTATTTTTTTTTCTGCTATCAAGTTTTTAATTTCCAAGAGCCCTTTTCAGTTTTCTTTTTCTAAATCTTCCATTTCTATAGCTTTGGTTCTTGTTTAATGGATGCAATATCC